TGAGTATTAGTCCTTGGACCCTAGCTTTTGTGTAGGTGTGGGGGAGGTGAGTGCTGCTCTGCTAGCCAGCAGTGCTCGTAAAGCCCTGGTGTATTCACGCTGGGCCTGACGAACACTCCCAGAGGGGCCCTGTCGCCATGGCGTCGGCAATGATTGATGGCTGTCAGAGCTGAGGAACAGACTGGAAAAAAGAAAGGGGAGTGGCACTGTGGCATATGCCCAGCATCCACTACCACAGAGGAGCCGAGGGAATAAAATGAGGAGGGTGTTGGGGAGGAGGGAGATGAGAAGTGCAAGAAGAAGTAGAGAGTAACTAGAGAGAGAGAGAGCATCCAGTCCACACTGGGTTTTATGATGTTGATCAATAGTCAAACATTTACTAGCTAAACATATGGGCTGTTTTGTTGTGTTTTTTGTTGTTGTTATGAGTGTTGGTTGCAATGGAAGAAGTGAGGCTGTTAGGAGCATGCTAGGTCAGGAGGTGGCAGTTGTGTGGTCTGTTCTCCAGCCTTTAATGTATTTTTATTTATTTTTTATTTCATCGGCTTTTAAATTTTGCATTTTTCTTCTTACTGTTTGTGTCTCTCCCTGTACTTTTTCACAGTTATCCAAGTCACTGTCTTGGTCATCCTCACCCTCTTCTCTCCCTCCTTCCTCCTCTCCCCCCATGTGTCCCCTTCTCCCTCTCTCTTTTTGTTGTTATAAAGGCAGCACAAGCATATCCGCTGCCAGGCTGGCCTTTTGTGACCTCCTCCAGTGATTCAAGGATTTGGGGTCAAAAATGTTTGGCTGGAATGGCTTGTATGCTTTTAAGTACACACATGTACAGTCCTGGCTAAAAATATTTGTGAACGTCTTGGCAATGTTGCGCACATTGGACACAGGAACAGCCAGATCCCTGGAGATGGACTTGTAGCTGTGAAGTTGTCCATGCTTTTCCACTGTTGTAGTTCTCAAATCCTAAGACAACCCTTTGCCAACACAAAGGTTGAGTCAACTTTTCTTCATTTTAACTGGTTGCAAGTGTGATTTCTGTATTGCCAGCACATGTTGATTGCTACAGGTGAGTTTCGCTACAAATTTAAAGGAGCATCACGTGCTTGAAATATAATTATTTCTGATGATTTTGAAAAGGCACCATTAATTCTGTCTGGTCCATTTTTGGAGTTCTGTGTGGAATGTATCAGATTTGGCTTCTTTTTTTTTTTAAATCTACTGTTTTGTGCTGTTCCAATGCAAACAAGAGAAATGAACATGAGAATACCAAAGAACTGGTGATTGCAACACTTTTCTGGGAGAAGTGGTGAGTTTCTGACAGAAATGCAGCGGTACCAACATTTTTGGCCATGACTGTACATGCTGAATCATTATGGGTGGTGGGGGGTATACTGTCTTAAAGAAGGTCCACTGAGAAGTTGTAAGCAAGGCCACTGACAAGAGCCTCACTGCCTGGGGCAGGGCTGAGACATCTGCCCCTTTCCTGTACCAGAGAGTCTGCAGAGAGAGATGTGGCTCATTTAGCCCAAAAACAGCATCAAGTTGTTTGGGACAGTCCAGCAAGCACAGCTGTGAGCTTTATAGAGACGTGATAAAGATCTAACATAACAGTCTGGCAGTAGTGTCTTCTACAGAGCTTTGTAGATTGTTGGTATTGTTTTATGACTTTGTGTTCAGTACCTTTAAACACAGCTTTGTTTTGCTTAATTATTTTTTTGTAGGCCTCATTCCAGGAATGGGCTGCTTAAGGGTCAAACAAAACAAACCGCAGTCAACCAGACACTGTGACTGTATGAGCATGTACCACTATGAAACTAGCCATAAACCTTAGATCAATATGTATTTCCTTTTTGTTCCAAACAGAGTAACATATACTTAGTGTAGAAAAGAAAAGCTGTCTTTAGATAAGATACACTTAGTAAACAAATTTCCTAGAGTTGGAAAATGTAATGGTCATCTTGTAAAAATAAATAAATTGGTTTAGTTTTTGAATACCTGCTGGGAGAGGCAATTTGTTATGTTGAAGGATGACTATTATGATGGATATGATTTTATTGACATTGAAGGTAAAAAAACAATCTTAACTGACCCTGTAAAATGACATACAGTATATTAGTAAAGCCCAGCACACAACTTCATTACAGCGTTTGTACATCTGATACATGTTTGTTGTGGACAGGAAGTATACTTCAGACCATATTAGTTGTTGCTGTGACTTGTAAATTCTACGTGATCATGTCCTGATAGCACGCTGGAAGATGTAAAACAAAAAATAACTGTACAGAAATCCTGCATCCACTACCCCTATGTAAAATGTCAACTTTAAGAGATGTGGAGGATGAATGCTGCACCTGTGACACTCCAAGATGTCCTCTTATGGCATTTTTAGATTATAAAAACAAAACATATAAAACCTTTGCTAGTAATCATGTGACAATATGAGATGCCCTTATACCACTGGTTAATTAGACACAGGCTGTTATTTGAACCTGAAGGCATGCATGGCCGGTTTAAATAAATGCAGTGCTTCATTTAAAGTAATGAGATCACTAGCAGGAAAAGTGTCCTTGCCAAGAAGCTGCAAAGCACCAGTTACCATGTAAAGAGGTCAAAACTATTAATACCTATATAACCATTTTACCATATAATGCAAACTGCAAGTAACTTGTTAAATTATGGCACAACCATGGTTTGTTCAATAGGGTGTAAAGCAAAAGCTTACTACTGATGATGCAGACTTTAGTGAGTACACACTCAGGGAGGTCTGGTGAACTGTCTGACTCCCTGAGAAGGCTAGATAACAAGGCAAAGGGAACTGATCACAGTACTTGTATATAAATATGCTCAGTGGAAACTTGTTCCTTTTCTTGAATGTTTTACTGGCTTCCTAGTTCACTGTATTTGTCTTGAGTCTGGTCTCAGTGTTGTAAGTTCTTGTCAAAATATATAAAGCAGGTTAGAGTTGGCTGTCTTCCTTAATGACACTGCATAAAAGTATGGCACAGTACTGTTCACTTTTAGTTATTGTAGTCATAGTTACACTATTTTTGTGCCTCTATACTTTTCTTTCAAATCGGTCACAAAAACTATTTTATTGAATGTGTGTTTGTATCTGTCTGGCTATACAGGTTAGATGGAGTAAATGCATTAATGACATGAAGGGCATGTCTGGCATTACTGGTCGTCAGCTGACATCTAGGAAACACTTCCAGTATGTAAAGAATGTACAATATTAGTATTTTTATAATTCTACCTCAGTAGCGATAGTCCACAACTATATGAGGTAAATGAGTTTAATTAGCTTGTTCAGATTAGTAAAATACTGCATATAAGTACCTCATATTGCCAGTGTATTGTAGATTTTTTTGTGTTTAACTCACTTTTGATGCCGTACCCCTGTAAAACGCTCTCCAGTTTTTGTAGAAATGGCAGCATTTAGAGACTTACTTTCACTAACAATGATACCCTGTCGAGGTTACTGTGTGTCCAGATTTAGATGGATAGTCTTGATCATTAGCATGAATGGTTCTATAGGTCAGGAAGAGATAAGAAGCCTAGTAAATAAAGGTACTGTATGTGCAAATTGGACAAGGCAGAGAACAATATAACAAACACATCTGTACAGTAAATCCTATTAAAAGTTCCATGTTACATTTCAGAAATGTGGCAACTTTGGTGCAGGTCAATTTCAGATGACATATTGAAACTGAGACAGAAGTTATGCAAACTTTTATCAGTGGGTGTGAACTGTGTCTGTTGTGTTTTTGGACTACAAAGAGCATCAAAGACCATCCATGCCACTAAACGTGCACATGTACTCAATTTATGGTTTATGGGTATGCTGTCTTTTTTAAAGTAGGTGTTCACCAGGCTGAGAATTTAAGTGAGCAAGTC